TTTTTTTTTGGGTATACCCAGTATTTCCATCATCGAACACAATAACTAATCACCTCACTGAATTATAAGCACTTTTTTTAGTTGGGACAGCTGGCCGCCTAGACATTCTCTAATAATAATATTACGACACCTTCAAACCTCTCAAAAAAGCAAACTGGATATTTATCCTAACAGTTTGAGACAATTGTTAATTTGAATTGCATTGCGGATATGGAATTATGGATACCTAGTATTTGTGGCCTAATCCTATCTTTAGAATACCAACCCTATCTCTATGGAAGAATGTTTTTAAAATATTCTACCCAAGGACAAAAAGTGAAATATGAATTTGATTTTATTGTGAATACTAAGATATAAATTTTTGAAGGCAGGACGGTAGATCAATTAAAACATATCTTATGATTTATTTTCTCCATAATTATCAACATAGAAAGTAGAAACAATGAAATAGCTCTTATTTGAAGTTCAAATTTACATATTTCAACTACGGATGCAGGCAAAATATATGTGGCCTTTCAACTATACACATCTTAGTTGACAATGACAAAGACTCCAATTTCAAAGATTATATATATATATATATATATATATATATATATATATATATATATATATATATATATATATATATACTAGTTTTTTTACGCGCTTTGCGCGAATGAGATAATGCCCAATAATTATTTTTAAATAAGTATTCCAAAGTATATCAATGCAATATTATATAGAAGATGTTCATGCATAGGTAAATAAATGTTGAATTTATTTATTTAAATCGGTAATTTAAAGTATATAATTGCAAGATAATATATGAGAGATTGATTATAACTGTCACTAAAATAAATGTTTGCAACTTTGTAATAACGCTAGTCTAAATACTTAGTCTTAAAGCGATAGTCTAAATAAATACTACTTTTTGTTTAAATTTCTCTAATTCTTCTTAATTCTTTTTTGGGTAGCATTGTTATTGTTTTCATCTTCAGTACACGTTTTAGAGTCCATGTGTAATTGTATTTATGATCAACAACTTTGTAGTTAGGCCGTGCAGGTCTGACAATGATGTAAGAACAATTTTGTCCGATAAAAAAAATAATAGTATAATATTTGTAAAGTAATGTAGAATTGTACCATTATAAAAAAAAATACAAAAAATATTAATACCATAATGGCCTAAATCATTCCAATAATGCAAAAGCATAATTGAAATATTAAGTTTTGTTCTAAATAATCCGAAGAAGATTAATTTTAAAAAAAAAAAAACTTAACCTAAATTTATTTTTTTTTAATAAAAATTCAAGAAAATCAAATGATTTTAAAGTAGTTCTTGATTTATAATATTTGATGCTCAACTTTGAATGCTATTTATTTAGTCGAGTTAATTATTTGACCAAAGTTTATGTTAAATTTTATATTATATATATTTTTTAATACATTTTAACATATTCATAATATATGTTTAACAATTATGCCAACTATACTTGGGATGAGGTTCAAACCTAAGACCATATATAAATTAAGAGTATATTAAAAATAATAAATAGTTAACGGAATATTCCGTTACTAAAGTTTAAACTAACGGAATTTAAGGTTATTTAAGGGAAGAAAATAATATAATAGAGGGTAAATAAGGAAAATCATTAAAAGATACTAAAATCAAAATAATATGAACCATTCATTTTAAGAAACAATTAGTACCGACATTTTTTTTATTCCAGTTAAGGGCCTAACATTATTCGCTCTTATTAGATTTGTAGATATATATATATATATATATATAATCTAAAAACATAATAAGTGTGAAAGAAAGTTATACCCCTTATTTATGACTTTTTTTTCGTTTAGTTTTTTTTGTACATTATGCTATAAAGGTTGTACATTAAAATATTTTGGACGAACATAACCCTACCGTTATAACTTCCGTTATCTTTTCCACTATTGTTACCATGCACATGCATCCACCATATATTTTCTTATCTTCTTCATTAATAATAATATATACACATTATATATTTGAGTTATATGTTAATTATTACATAAAATTTAAATATTATTATTATTATTATTATTTATAATAATTTAAATATCTAAAAACTAAATAAATTTAAAATTTTAATATAATGTATTAATATTGGTACCTATTTTTTGCGCATCGCGCATAAAAAAAATACAAATATATATATATATATATATATATATATATATATATATATATATATATATATATATATATATATATATATATATATATATATATATATATATATATATATATATATATTAACGAAAATAGGAATTTATTTTATGGAAAAATAATCCCAACAAAATTAGTACGAAACTAGCACAAATGGATTTAATTTAGAAAAATTAATCCCAAGCAAAAAACTTGGTATTTAACCAAGAATTTATTTATATATAGAAATATATAAACGAGAAAGGGTTCTATAAATTAAACTTAAGATTTTAACCCAACACAAGAAAGGAGAAGAAGGAGAATAAATCCGAATCGTGTGATATACTTGCACTTTCCTTAAAACCTATTCGTTACCTTCCGAAGGTGCTAGGAGTATTGTAGCGCCAGTCTCCCAAAATAAAACATATTGCGACCTTAGTGTTTGAGCACACAAAACTAAAGTCCGACGAACTAGAACCAAAGGCGAGCACTTCGATATTTTATCGGAAGTGTGAGCAGAATTTTCAAGAACAAAATAATTTTCGTGGAGAGAGGAGAAGAAAATCAACAAGATTTTGATTAGTTCAAAAGCGAACAACAAAAATCTTCATAACACCCAGGTGTTTTTATAAGGGATTAGAATGAAATAACACTAATGAACAGCACATAAATTCAATTTAATAATCGAATTATAACGTTTCAAACAGTCATATTAATTATCGAAATTATACTAACGGTTACGAAATTAATACAATTAATTCGTACCGACTATTAATAACTTGTTTGAGATAATTTTAATTTTGGTCACATGACTATAGGAACTTTGTTAATTTCAGCACCTGACTTTTAAAAGTGTCAATTTAGTACCTTGACTATGTAATTTTTGTCAATTTTGGTCATTCTGGCCAAATTGACGGTCAAATTTGGCTGAAAAAATTTAATCCAACACGTAATCTATAATCTGAGGGGCAAAATGGTCTTTTGATCATATTATAAACTAAATGTTGGATTAAGGTTTTCCAGCCAAATTTGGCCGGCAATCACTCCAGCCAAATTTGGCCGGCAATTTGGCCGGAGTGACCAAAATTGATAAAAATTACATAGTCAAGGTACTAAATTGATACTTTTAAAAGTCATGTGCTGAAATTAACAAAGCCATTATAGTCATGTAACTAAAATTGAAATTTTCTCTAACTTGTTTCAAAACATCTGAGTAGCTAAGAAATCCGTACAATCGGAAAGTAAACAACCATTCGGAAAATCCTAAAAATTACATTTTGTAACTGCCAAAGCACTATTCGAGAAGCATTGCATGTACATTAACCATTCGTACATTACATTACTAAAAATAGGATTAGGCCACAAATACTAGGTATATTAGTATATATCCATATCCAGATATCCTCAATGCAATTCAATTAACAATTGTCTCAAAGTGTTAGGATAAATATCCAGTTTGCTCTTCTTTTTTTTTTTTTTTTTTTTTTTTTTGGTGAGGTGGAGGAAAAATAGGATAGGGGAGAAAAAATTGAGTATGTTGTAAGCAATTGTTATACCATGGATCATAGTTTATCTTACATTGTGAACTCTTATTCAAAACAACATTCAAATTATGTGTCTGTAGTTAAAATATTATGTGCACATATTAACTATAGTCACATAATTTATTAAGTGCAATCACATAATTATGCATCTATTATAAACTTGCTACTAATATAGTACGTGTTTTCAATTTAATTTTAGATACATAATTTATTGATTGAAGACACATAATATGCTAATTACAAGCATATAATTTGAATATCAGTTTAGATCTTGATTTACAATGCAAGGTGAAGTCTGATATATGATATAACTTGCTTGTTGTAGGAACATGTATATTTTGTGTTGTGGGTCACATTCACATTGCAGATCTCTTGTTTTTTGTATTTTTTTTTCTCTAAAATACAGCTAGCCCGTAGCACGGCAAATTATGCTGTGCAACTGTATGATGCACACGATTACAAAAACGACGTTGTTTTGATGTTCGATTTTAAAAAAAAAAATCAGTTTCAATTGTCGTTAACGGTGTTATGTTGTGCATAATTTGAACTATATATCCATAATGAATGAACTATATAATCCAAATTATGCATAACATAACGCCGTTAACACCAATCCAAACTGAATTTTTAATTTTTTAAATCGGACGTCAAAACGACGTCGTTTTTGCAATCTTATGCACCATACATGATGCACACAATTGCACGGCATAACGCTCCCCATATAGCACCAAGGGCGCATTTACTTATTTTCTTTTTCCTTTATTATTATTTGTTTCCTTTTTTCTTTTTATTTATATTTTGTTTCTCCTTTTCCTCCTCCCTTCCTAATGGACAAAAAAAAAAAAAAAACTTTGACAATACGCTCTAATGGAAATCAAACATGATAACCCAATACGGTAGCTCAAGTGGCAAATGAGCTCTCTTTGTGGGGAAGAATTTTGGAAAACTTGATTTCCACAAGTGACAATCCCTTTTGGGCCAGCTTCAGTGCCTCTCGGAGCAAACCGAATGAACTTGAACCGTTAAACGGACAGAAAAAGACCCAGACCACAATGTGTGGTTTAAACAAAAAAAAAAAAAAACATGATTAAGTAAGCAGATCTGAGTTGAGTGGAATATAATAGTTGCGTCTTAGTTTGGGTTTTGAAAATTGTTTATTCCCTGTATTGTACATCATTTCCTTTAAATATATACACTGGAACTAGCTAGCGTTAGGTTCCTCATCATCATATATATAATATATCATGGAGAGAGGTCCTGAAAAAGGTGGCGCCGATAAAACAAAATTCACACCTTACATCATTCGCCTTGCCATGTCTGCTGCCATTGGAGGTCTTCTCTTTGGTTATGACACTGGTAAACACTATATATATATATATCCACAAAATCCCCAGTTTAATATTTGTTTAATCTTTTCCTACTATATATACCACATGAAAGAATCTGCTCTTGTATGTTATTATTATGTGCTTTAATATAATTAATTTGCACTGAACTGGATCATATATATATGTAAAAGGCATTATTTCTGGAGCTCTGCTGTATATCAAGGAAGACTTCATGTATGTATGTATGTATGTTAACTAGATAAATAAATAATAGTAATAGCAAAAGAAATCCACCATTTCCCACTCATGGTGTTATTACCGTCCTTTATTATTATTATTATTATTATTATTATTATTATTATTGTTGTTGTTGTTGTTGTTGTTGTTGTTGTTGTTGTTGTTGTTGTTGTTGGTAGGCCAAGGAACAATTCAAAATATTTTTCTGAGATATCGATTTCATGAAATTTCAAGAAAGTGGGGACTAGATGATGGATAATGGCAATTTATATCCTACACCACGGCGCGCGTTGCACTATGCGCCCAGATGCAAAACGACGTCGTTTTAATTTTTTTTTTTTTTTTAAATTTCTCGCCCCAGTGAATGACAGTAGTTTTTGCGTTAAAAAAAAAAACCGCTGTTCAAGAATGTACATAATGTTATACTTGAATACACATAATTGTATACATGAATGTACATAATTATATAACAAAATATACATACTCTTTTTAAAAGATAATACACATAATCTAACATAATACTTAATAAACATAAACTTTTAACATAATACATATCAACTCTTAACATAATACACACAAATTTTCTGATTCGGATGTACATAATTGTATAAAAAAAAATGTACATAATTGTATAAAAAATACACATAACTGTATGAACAATACACATAACGTTGTGAACAAATACACATAATGTTGTGAACAAATACACATAATCCCAGCAACTTCCTACCGCGCCTCCCAACACGACCCCAAAACGACGTCGTTTTGGAGGCGCGCGGCGTACAGTGCTATGTGCGCCGTGGTGTAGGATATAACGATTGATGGATAATATACTAGGCCTGGCCACACGGACCGGCCCATGAAAGCAACTGGATCAAGGAAGTCCAAGAAGGATACCCAATACGGAACAACTCAAGAGTTCGTTAAGGCAAATTATGCCCTGGACCCGTGTCCACATTGCATTGTGGACACGAGTCCAAAACGACGTCGTTTTTAGGGAAAACGCGTCAGTCCAGTTAAAAAAAAAATTGACTTTGTCTCGGCGTTAACGGTGTTATTCGTTTGTGTCATTATGAATGTACAGTTATGGGATTATGAATGTACAGTTATGGAATTATGAATGTACAGTTTAGGAATTATGAATGTAAGTTATAAAATTATGAACACAGAGCTCTGACGTTATGAAATTGCAATTATGAACATATAGTGATAAAATTATGAACATAGAGCTCTAAAATTGTGAACATGGAACTTCGAAAATTATGGTTTTACAGCTATTGAATTATGAATGTACAGTTACAGAATTATGAATGTACAGTTATGCAATTATGAATGTACAGTTATGAAATTATGAACACAGAGCTCTGACATTATGAACTTACAATATGAACATATAGTGATAAAATTATGAACATAGAGCTCTAAAATTGTGAACATAGAGTTTCAAAAATTATGAAGTTACAGTTATTGAATTATGAATGTACAGTTACGGAATTATGAATGTACAGTTATGGAAGTATGAATGTACAGTTATTGAATTATGAACATAGAGCTCTAACATTATGAACTTACAATTATGAATATATAGTAATAAAATTATGAACATATACTCCTATAACAATGTGGTCTGAAATAAAAAATAAAAAATAAATAAAAAAATAAAAATAACGGCACTGTTACCCGTGTCCAGCATGCATGCTGGACACGGGTCCATATCATAACGATTGGTTCGTTAAGGATTTGGCTTATTATTCCCAATATAATCAGAATTAGATTCATTATTTCTAGTATAATAAAATTAGGTCTATGTAACTAAGATTCCCAATATGAGACAGTCTAGAATTCTTTTTTCTTATATGACTCTAGGCCCAAAATTGGTATAAATAGACCTCTCACATAGAGGAGAGTGGAACAACTCTCAACAATTTACGAGCAATATAATACTCATCAATACAACATTCATATCTTTTCGCCATATATTTCTCCTATATTTTCCTATATTCTCCAACACAGTCCATTGAACGTGTCCGCAAGACCTGGATTCCGGAATTTGTCCACATTTGGCATTTGTGACTTTGATTTTAGAAAATTCATTCATTGAAGCTTTCGCCTTCTACGCTCTCTATCAGCTCTCTGGTAAAGGTTTCAGATCGAAGCGACAGTTTTCATCATCAAGCAAGTTAAATGGTTGATATCGAGGCTCATCATCTCCCAACTGCTTTTGATCCGTTTGGCGAGGCCGAGGCCAAGGAATCGGGCGCCCCTGGAGCGAAAGAGTATGTGCATATCCGCATCCAACAGAGGAATGGAAAGAAGAGTGTGACGACAGTGCAAGGGCTGAGGAAGGAGTACAGTTACGACAAGATCCTTAAAGACCTCAAGAAAGACTTCTGCTGCAACGGTAATGTCGTGCAGGACAAGGAAGGGGGGAAGGTGATACAGCTCCAAGGCGATCAGCGCAAGAACGTGTCCCAGTTTCTTGTCAGTGCTGGGCTCGTGAAGAAGGATCGGATTAAGATTCATGGTTTCTAGTACTTTACCTGGATTGTCGATCTGTGTGCAATGATAAAACTATAGATTATACAACTATATTGCAGTACTGGTGTTGTTTGCCTTTTTTTTTTCTTTTTTTTTCTGAACTTTTCTTTTTGAATTGATTTCCATGTCCATAGTCATGTCATGGGGTGGCTGTTGAATTGTAATTCCACTCTTTATTCCAGCAATAAATGTGGGTTTTATATTTATCATTAAAAAAAAATTATTTATTAAGCCAATTTTATTCAATATATATATATATATATTGAATTCTGGAATTTGAGATGAATGGGATAGTTGCGTATTTAATCTTTGCTTAGTTTGGGTTCTAAAAATTGTTATTCCTGTACTGTGATTTCCTTTAAATACTAGACTGTAACTAGCTTAGGTTCCCACAAGCCCGAATTTTGGGTCGTGCAAGCGGGCTACCGCACAAGGTCCCAAATTTTATAGTGGTTCCAAATTTTAGAAGCTCAATATTTCATTTTTACCTAGTTAGGGTTAGAAATAAAAACTAAAAATTTTCAATTAAACTTAAAAGCTAGGCTTCATGAAGAAATGGTAGGAACATTTGTTTATTGTAATTGTAATTTATTACATAATATATCTTTTGGCTTTTTCTTTGCGCACAGTAATATTTTACCACCTTATTATTATTATTATTATTATTATTATTATTACCATTATTATTATTATTATTATTATTATTATTATTATTATTATTATTATTATTATTATTACCCGTGCATTGCACGAAATAGCTAGATTTGTCAAAATCTTTATGAATATTTTGATCAATATACAAATATAAATTCTAACAACGAATATTATATAGTGCAATTGATGAAATGGGTTGTATCGATTATGTTTTTTTATGTTATTCTTGTTTGAATTTGAGCAAATCATACCCAATTATCCGTGCAGTGCGCGTGCAATGCACGGACAAAATTTTTATTATATATTTAGATAATAAAATTGAGTAATTAAGAAATGCTTATTTGATTAGAACTATATTTTGTTGCGGTGTTACTACCCATGATAATTGCACGATAAATATGATGTAGTGGTTCAAACATTCGTCTCAAAATGTTGAATCCCCAACTCCAAGGACCCCGTCCGATAGAGCATCTCTGAAAATGTAAATTACGGTAACTCGAACATTTTTCTAGTATTAGAAGGTCACGACTTGTTCTCCAAAAAAAAAAAAAAAAAAAAAAAAAAAAAAGAGAGAGAGAGTCACGAGTTAACTAGTTTTTTTTTTATTCCCGTAAATTCTCGAATAAGATAGTAAGGTAAAATGTGCCCAGGTTTATTACTTTTGATTTTATTCCCATGAATTCTCGTATTTTTTCGAATGTGATACTAATGTAACGATGTGCCCAGATTTATGACTTTTGATTTTATTCACATTTTAGGCACTCGAATGGGATAGTAATGTAACAATTCAGTCCAAAGTTTTGAATCATTAAAACCAACGACCAGCCCTCTAAATACTACAAGTAGCTTAGTTTAATTTCATGTTTCCTCAGCATATCATACATCATATGATAAATTATCAGCCATGGAGGGAGGTCGTGAAGAAGCTGGCCATGGTGCAGACAAAACGAAATTCACAGAATGTTGGCAGACAACTCGTAAAACACCTTACATCATACGCCTTGCCATGTCTACTGGCATGCGCCTTACCCGTGCATTGCACAAAATAGATTTGTTATAATCTTTAAGAATATTTTGATCAATATACAAATATAAATTATAACAACGAATATTATATAGTGCAATTGATGAAATGGGTTGTATCGATTATGTTTTTTTGATATTATCTTTGCTTGAATTCGAACAAATAATTGCACAATTATCCGTGCAGTGCGCGTGCAATGCACGGATAAAATTTTTTATTATATATTTAGATAATAAAATTGTTACTATTTCTTTAATTCTTTCAAAATTTGTTAAATATTCATTCAAATACGTGTGAATACGTATCAATGTAGAACACTTATGAAATTTTTCGTATGAGATACACTAAGAGAAACGGTCTCCCTGAATATTTTTCCTTAGTTGATATCCGATTAGAATAGTATAGATTATAAAAAATTGCGGTATTAGTTTCAAATATTTTGATTTTGATAGGGCCTCATTTATTTACACTAACAGAGCTACAAAAATCTAAAAACCGGCCCTGATTCCCCATCATCATATAAATTATCAACCATGGAGAGAGGTCCTGAAAAAGCTGGGCATGGTGCAAATAAAACGAAATTCACAGAACGTTGGCAGACATCTCGGGAAACACCTTACATGCATTATGCGCCTTGCCATGTCTGCCGGCATTGGAGGCCTTCTCTTTGGTTACGTTATGAACTGGTAAACACTATTTACAAAATCGCCATCCACTTTAATATTTTCCTACTATTTATACCACATGAAAGAATCTTCTCTTGTATGTTATGTGCTTTAATATAATTCAATTGCACTGGATCATATATATATGTAAAAGGTGTTATTTCTGGAGCTCTGCTGTATATCAAGGAAGATTTCAAAGCTGTTCAGGACTAAACATGGCTTCAGGTACGCGAGTAAACTAACATCTATCTACAATACATATATATACAATTTTAATAAAAGTCAATAATGTTAAATTTATAAAAAAAATTATAAAAGATGTCGGTGTAATAATATACTAGTATTTACACCCGTGCGATGCACGGAATGAATTTGTTGTAATATAGTAAGAATACATGAATCGATATATAATTATTTAAATTAGAACATCCAATATTATATAGTGCAATTAAAGATATGGTTTGCATCGTTTATATATTTTGATGTTATTATTGTTTGAATTTGTGTAAATAATTGCTCAAATTAATAGCTAATGTCTAGATGTACACATATGGTGCTATAACTTTGAAGATTTATTTATCATTATTTAGTATTTTCATAAATTAGGCAAATGTGCTCGTTCTCTAACAACTCAGTTATAGAAATGAATTGGTATCCTTATTCATTTGTATGGAAGATATATTTTTTTGTCAAGATATATAACAATTTTTTCATTTAAAAAAAAAACTTAATATCCCCGATTATATTTACACATTATTGAAACCTCTTTGTAGACGACATTGGTAGTGACAGCGCAATATTGTTCATCTTCGTCTAGAGCTAACACCTCCAATTCATCGGGACGGGTTATTTGGGTTAAAATATATAATGGTAGAATATTATTCAATTAGTTATCCTTTTATATTTTCAGTCAATTAGTGATATCAGATTCATTTTCAGCAAATTATTTTTTTTATTTTCAGTCAATTAGTCAATTAGAATATCAAATGCAGTGATATTTTTACCTAATTTTCGTTCCATTTTTAATTGATGATGTAGATATTATTATTGAAATATTTCCGTTCCATTTTTAATTTACCTTTACTATTGTTTAAAATATGCATTTACTATTGATAATGTAGAATATTATTATTGAAATATTTTTTCCTCAAATTTTTAATTTTCATTCCATTTTTAATTAAAATGCAATGATCTCACCATTTATTTGTCTTTTTTTTAGTCAATTATGGATCATTTTTTATTTGCAGTCAATTATTAATATTCATTTCATTTTATATTTTCAGTCAATTAGTAATATTAGATTCATTTTCAGTCAATTATTTTTTTTATTTTCAGTCAATTAGAATATAGATGTAGTGATATTTTTACCTAATTTCCGTTACATTTTAATTTGATGATTTTTAATTTACATTTACTATTTTTTAAAATATGTCTTTACTACTTGATGATGTAAAATATTATTACTGAAATATTTCCTTTCCATTTTTAATTTTCCTTTACTTCTAAAAAATTTAAAAAAAAAAAAAAACTTTGGACTTATCACTACTTGCCCACAGTGATGGGCAAGCAATTATGTTTGTAAACATTTTCAAGAGCTCCTCATTCCAAACATTTTCAATGTGAGATTAAAATTAAAATTATCCCACATCATTCTTCTTATTTTTTTCTAATTTTAATTTTAGTTTGTATATTGTTTTGTTTGGATGATGATGATGATGATTATTATTATTATTATTATTATTATTATTATTATTATTATTATTATTTGATTATTGACGATTTAAAAAAAAATTGAGATTGACAAATTCACCAAAATTTTAACAAATTCGTCATTTTAACAATTTATCTTTAAGCAAAACACCAAAAATGTTATTTAATAACTCAATAATTTGCTCTAAACTGCTAAAAACTAAAACAACACATACATTTTGTGTTAATTTTACCCAACACCCACTAATAATAAATAATAAATAAATAATAAATAATAAATAATAAATACAGTAATAAATATAAATAATGAATAAAAACTAAAATAAGAAGACAAAGCTAAGGTTTCTTAAATAAGAACCTTTTGACTTCTCAATACTTGCAACATTGATTGGCAAACAATTATGTTTGTACCTCTTATATAGAGGAGCTCAAGAACACATCTTTTCAAACATTTTCAATGTGGGATCAAAATAATCTCATATTATTTACAAAGGGAGCATGTGGCTCCCCTTTGTCTTATTTTATTTATTTATTTTTTGTTAATTTTAATTTTATTTTGTATATAGTTTTGTTTGGATTATTATTATTGTTGTTGTTGTTGTTGTCGTGTGGTTGTAATTTGATTATTTGACAAATTCGATAAAATTTTAACTAATTCGCATGTTTAATATTTTATATTTAATCAAAATACCAAAAATATTATTTAATAACTTAGCAATTTGCTTCAACCTCTTAAAAACTAAAACAATACATATACATTTTGGGTTAATCTTTCCCAAACCCCATAATAAATTAAAACAATTTTAAAAAAAAAAAAAACTAAAATAACAAACCACTAAGATAAGTTTCATTAAATAAGAGCCTTTTGACTCGTTGAGCTCAATAGGTTGAGAAAGTTTATATGAACAGATATTATATGTAACAGGGTAAATCGAATAGTCATGCTGTGGAACTGTGTCCACCTTGCAAAGTGGACACAATTCTATGTTAATAATTACTGAACTATATGTTCATAATTATAAAGCTATATATTCATAATCTTTGAACCTCATATTTATAATTATTGAACTCTATATTCACAATTACAAAACTATATGTTCATAATTACTGAATTATATATTAATAATTATAAAGCTATATATTCATAATTTTTGAACTTCATATTCACAATTATTGAATCTCTATATTCATTATTACATAACTATATGTTCATAATTATGTTCACAACACTATGTTCATAATTATAGAACTATATATTCATAATTATAAACAATTTTGGAACCGTATCTACCATGCAAGGTAGACACAGTTTCACAACATAATTTGCCGGGTCAATAGTACTCAAAAATAAAATAGGAGCCTTTGGACTTCTCAATACTTGCCCACATTGATGGTCAAACAATTATGTTTGTAAGAGGAGCATTGCTCCTATTATATAAAGGAGCTCAAGAGCTCATCAACTCTTTCCAAACATTTTCAATGTGGGATCAAAATGATCCAACATCATTTACAAAGGGAGTCCGTGGCTCCCTTTTGTCTTCTTTTTATTAATTGTAATTTTATTTTGTATATCGTTTTGTTTGGATGATGATGATGATGATGATGATGATGATGATGATGATGATGATAGGCACTCGAATGGGATAGTAACGTAACGATTCAGTCCAAAGTTTTGAATCATTAAAACCAACGACCGGCCCTCTAAATACTAAATACTACAAGTAGCTTAGTTTCCAGTTTCCTCAGCATATCTTACATCATATGATAAATTATCAACCATGGAGGGAGGTTGTGAAGAAGCTGGCCATGGTGCAGACAAAACAAAATTCACAGAATGTTGGCAGACAACTCGTAAAACACCTTACATCATACGCCTTGCCATCTCTGCTGCCATGCGCCTTACGCGTGCGTTGCACGAAATAGATTTGTTATAATCTTTAAGAATATTTTGATCAATATACAAATATAAATTATAACAATGAATATTATATAGTGCAATGGATGAAATGATTTGTATAGATTATGATTTTTTTAATGTTATCATTGCTTGAATTCGAACAAATAATTGCCCAATTATCCGTGCAGTGCGCGTGCATGCACGGATAAAATTTTTAAAACCCAAACTAAGCAACCAAGAACCGTGTGGTTCAATATAATAGCACCAAGTTATTCTCTCTAGTGAGTAGTGAGAGGTTGTGGGATCTAGCCTCAGTAGAGAGCCGGTCAATGGTTTTAATAATTAAAAACTTTGGACTGAATAGTTACGTTACTATCCCATTCGGTCAAATTCGAGAATTCAATAAATCGCCTTAAATGGGAATAAAATCAAAGTCACAAATCTGGGCACATCGTTACGTTACTATCCCATTCGGTCAAATTTGAGAATTCTATAAATTGCCTAAAATGGAAATAAAACCATGAAGTGAATATTAGCAAGAATCAAATTAATTAACTCAGTGTCCTATCTTATGAAGGAGTGGTGGAGGATCAATGTCGGGTAATTATGGCCCTATTTACGTATTGCTCTTTCAATATTGTCTCTAGACTAGTTAATGTTAGTGCTCATACTTTAGCTACACTAGCTTTTGATCAGGAACACTCTATGTATTGGGACTATGTCCCTCCTGACTACTTAATTCATTTCATTAATTAAAATATGTCACCGTGCTTGGCTTTCAAAAAAAAAAAAAAAAAAAAAAAAAACTCAGTGGGCGATATTGACTTGTTGAGCTCCTCAAAAATATAAATAAAGATATAACCTACTACAACCATGGTTATGGCACATGATTTATAAATTTTGCTGCACGATGGAGGCCAGGGAAGAAACCATCTTAGATTGTTAAGGAATTTTTGTAATTATCTTAGTTTGTTAGGATTATTTTTGTATTCATCTTAGTTTGTTTGGATTTGTATTTATCTTGGATTGTTTGTTTTTATCTTGGATTGTTAGGATTTTGTATTTATCGTAGTTGCATGGAATTAATTTTGTATTTATATTACTTTCTTAGGATTATTTATTATATATTTTTATCTTAGTTTGTTTGTTTGTTTTTTGAAAGCGGATCTTAGTTTGTTAGGATGATGAGGATATATATTTCTGAATGAATCAAATAATAAGTCTGTACAGGAATCTATATAGTAGCGAATAGCAAACCTAATACAAGACTAATACTAGCAACAATAGGTAACGAATACTAATAATAATAGAGTCCTAATACTCCCCCTCAAGCACAAGGTGGACTAGCTACAACATTGAGCTTGCCACACAGAGTAGAGAAACACGGACCAGGGAGAGCTTTAGTGAACACGTCAGCCAGCTGATCCTTAGTAGAAATGAAGCTAACCTGCAACTCTTTCTTTGCCACTTTGTCACGAACAAAGTGATAGTCAATTTCCACATGTTTCGTACGAGCATGGAACATCGGGTTGGAACAGAGATAAGTTGCACCCAGATTATCACACCAGAGAGTGGGAGGAGCTGCCAACGGCAACCGAAGTTCATGCAATAGAGAAAC